GTATAAATATACACATTTTCTGCCCCCATGTCTTGAATTTGTGATCATTCCGAATGTATTTTAATAGACTGAATCATGCAGTGATCAGGCAGAGCACTAGACTTCACGTAATGCGTGCACTCTGTAGGTGTTTTGAATATTCGTTTTTTTTGCGTCGTGAGAATATTGAGCAAAATAGCTCACTTGTCATGGTGTTAACTATATCATGTTATGAATAAACTAAACATTCTGAATTTTACCTCAGTGTGTTTCTTCTGAGTTTGTGTGCGGTCACGCTCATTTGTTCTGAAGTCTCGAGAGTCTCGAGACAAACAGAGTGAGCCTCAGCGCGAGCTTGTATTCTGCAGTTCTCTCTGATGACGCAGTAATTTACAGCGGGTCTGTCCAATGATTGTAAAGTCGTTAGGTCCGACAGACTGAAGATATTTTAGCGGTAATGAGACCAAAAATAATTAAGACCCATCGAATCCGAATTTAAGACATTTTAAGACTTTTTAAGGCGTTATATTAGGAAAACGTTATTTAAGAAATTAAGACTTTTTAAGGACCCGCGGACACCCTGATGTGTCATAGATTCAGCTCTCTAATCAATAAACTTTTGAGCCAGTCCAAAGAAGGGCCAAATTCAGACAAAAAGGGATAAAGAAACAAGAGTAGGCAAAGTGGAACCGTCTAAACAACTGTTTACCCTCTGCAGTGGTGTCTTGCATGAAGGCTGCTGGAATTTTCTTGGGTTGATCGTTTATAGTCTCAGCAGTCATTCAAAAAGCGGTCCATCTCACTGATGGAGTTTAGATTTGAAATTTTGGGACCTTGATAGAGAGTTCACCTACATCCAACTCCATGATGCGCTTTTGCAGAATTTCAAAAGTAAAACGCAACTTTGTGGGGCACTGCAGGTTAAGAGCATAAATTAGACCGAACAACATTGACGTTGCAAAAGTCACACTGTCAAGGTCCTGAAGCACTGCCACACCCTCTAGCACAATTCCCACATCATGGGCTTCATTGTCTGCAGTGTCCTTTATCACGACGATGCCCATGGTGGTCTTCTCAATGGCACTCTGTAAAAGATCTTCTTCCATGTCCTAAAGACAGAAAACAAGATGCATATGTATTTAACACATGAACAAGAAATATGAGGGGTAGCTTTTTTGTAACTTACTAGGCAAGTAATTTTTAGAAAAATGCCAATGCTTGCGGTGACCTCAATCTTCTATCCACATTATTAAGGAAGTCACAGTTCTTATGTAATATGGTGAGGAAGAAAGATCTTTCTCAAGATGAAAAGCACGAAACAATGCAATGTCTTGCAAAAGGCATAAAAACAAACAATATTTTGCAAAAAGCAAATAGAGATTATTGAACTGTCAAAAGATTTGTGAGTGACTTAGAGCACAGAGTATTTTGGTCAGATAAAGATTAATTAAGGAAAGTTTCTGTCAAACAAATTAATTGTATTGTTATAGCAGCTGTAAAAAACTGTGACTTGCTTAATAATTATTATTTTAAAACTTAAGTAAATAAGTGTGCTCTGTACGGTCATTTAGAAGTTAAACAAGTATAGCTATATGTCTAGTGGATAAAATGGAATTGTTAAATTTATGTTGCAGTGTGCATATTTTATGAAATTATGGTTTTTAGATGTAGTAATGCGTTGCTTGTTGAACATAGTACAGATTCCATCGGTTAAGCTATAACCACTCACCACATACTCCTGAATGAGATCTTTAGGGTCCTCATTAAGATAGATACAGAGTCCTTTGATGGCAAGTTCACGAGCTGCATCAATGTCATCCTTAAAAAAATAAGCCAGAGCAGAAAAAGAAAGGTTAGTTTAAGACATTACTCAAAACACAATTAAACAAAAGAGCACAATGGGTCTCATTCACTAAAAGTTCATAAAAATGTATATTATGTGTATGGCAAATGTGCATGTTATGGTCTAGAGCAGTGTTTCCCAACCGGGGTGCCGTCTGTCGAGAGCAGGGGTGCCGTGTAAAAATCCTTTATTAATATTTTTTAATTGCTAAAATGTAAAAAAAAAAAAGCATCTATTATATAATATCCATTTCTGATGTCGCCAATAATTAGAGATGCACCGAAATTCCGGCTGCCGAAAATTTGTATCACTTTCACGTGGTGTGACGCTCTGCGTATTATCCCGCTCTATGCGTGTGCGCTCCGCTCAGTCGCTCCACTCATATACCGTTCATGCTCATCGGAACAGCAAAGTCCACTCAAAAATCGAGCCGAAAGGAAACCTCCATGTAGTACATCTATGTCGTATTGTTTCTGTCTGCAATAGCCCTACTGTGTTGTAACATGGTGTGGTAAATGGGCAACTATTGTAACGCTACCCTCTCATTCATTGATCTGCTAACTGCTATGTAATGCTCGCGTGTTCTGATAATAATAGCTTTCTAGGACTAAACATTATTTGGATAATTGGTTAAAAAATAAATGAAAAAACTTACTCTTAATAGCCCTAGTGTTAGACCTGAAAAATTAAATAGACATGCACACAAACACACACACACAAAAAAAAGTATAGTGTGCTAACCTGACATCCAAACAATGCATTTTTTAAAATCAGTTTAATCTACTGAAAATGTGAAAATTTTATGTCATGTCTGATGCAAAATGGGTTAATATGCCTCTACCTCAACATAATCTGTGAAATCTGACTCTTGTGGAGCTACTGTTGCAGTTATTACTATCCCAGGTTTAAAATCCTTTAGTGAAAAAGAATGATGTTTTCTGTTCTTATAAGACTTAAAAGTACCACAGATATTTGTTTTAAAGTTACAACCTGAAAACATACAAGTTATCAATTCATTTTTCTTAAGATGTGCATTAATATGAGCCCAGTAATCTTTCTCCAAGTTAAGCCCCCCACAATTACATATATGGCAACTAAATATGATATTTTGAAACTGTTTCTGTCTAGTTTCAATCACATGAAATCTATTTAAATGAATTCTAAGCGCATTCCACGTTCTAAATGTGCAGGGGCAGTTTGAATATACACATGTAAAACGACTACTATGTCCAAAATGTCTGTGTTTTAACCTATAATGCTGCAGAAGTTTTAACCTACTTGGTACAACAACTGAACAGGCTTTGCAATTCCACATGTACAGCAAATGACACTGAAAAGAGAGAAAGAGCAGAAATTAGTCATAAATAACAACAACAACAATTAATGATTTGAACTATTATAAGTAACAATTTACTGTACTCTTCCAAATTAAATGCAATGCTAATTATAAGATTACCCCCTTTTAAGATGTACCTTTTTGGAAAAAGGCTTTTTAATTTTTTCCAAAATGTATGGTAAATACTAGTAAAACGAACCAACATTCACTTTTAAAAACACTTTATAGCATACCATAAAATAACCTTTATTGTAACAGTCATTTATATTAATTATGCTATCCATCTCAAAGTGAAAACCATGTAGCCTACCAAAATTTCATTAACAGTAGATGTGAAATCCTAATATTATAATCTTAAAACCTGCCTGAGAGAGCTTTTTATGAGTTATGGGGCGAGGGCGGGGCTATCGAGTATTTGTTTACTTGATAAAAGAGGTCATTGTACTAAAAAACATACTGTATGTTTAACTTGATGTTTATCTGTCAGTAAATCAGTCAACATACACTGACGGAGCATTGAGCGCTTTTGCCCATTGCTGCGATATGACAACGGCTACGAACCCCTCCCCCACCCAAATCCTAGTAAGTGGAGGGTAGCTCATTCTGAGATGAAGCACAGATTGTCGAAACAGTGCTCCTAAAAACAATACCAGTGAATTTGGAAGCAGCGGGTTTTCTGGATACAAAGCACAATAACGCTGACAATTTTTAACCGATTTACGCTTTACGGTCCACGTAAAATGCAAAAACGTTTAACGTTAATCTCCATCTGGATAGTTAGACTTGGATAATTATTCATTGTCATAAAGTATTATTAAACCTCGCTCTTGTAAAGCATTAATTTATACTTCAGTTAGGTTCCCCCTTTTTTGTTAATACGTAGCGCAAAATGCCGTGAAATATTTATGATCACTGATTCTGAAAATCTACGTTGAAACTCTGAAACTCAAACGCTGTGAAATTAACACTTTTTAGCCAATGTATTGAAAGGCATTATAATTCGCCTGATGAAAACTTGGTTTCCAGTTGTGAATGATTTAATCGCATTGTAGAAGTTTGATAAACGACCTATTGACTGAACGCAAGCGCTTATTGTGATAGAAAACACTGTAACGGTTTCACTGATTAAGAAATATTTTGTTTGCTTGGGTGGTAATATAGGCCTATTATATAGGGAAGGGGGGCCCAAAAATGTGTTTTGCCTATGTCAGGAAAAGAGGTAAATCCAGCCCTGTCTGTACACAAAAGCAGCACTGCGCGCACTAACCTGCTTTATCAGGCATTACAGGCATGATAAAATTAACATGATACCAATCGGACCAATCACCGCAGATTATCGTCATGCAAAAGGTGATTTGATTGGAGAGTAACTACCCCTTTTGTCACTTGGGGCTGTCTAAATGATGTGTATAAAACAGCTTGTATGGGCAAAATATTTTTGGTTTTATTACTAACTGAATTTGATTTCAACTGCAAGCCCCTCTTTACAGTTTTATGAAAAATATTAAAGATTTTATAGATTATAGAAATCTGTCAACCAAAAAGCAATTCAAACTTTTACAATTTGATCGAAATAGCTACATCATTTTCACGTTAGTAGCCTGCTTTGTATGTGAGTAATAAATGTTAATATAATGGAATAAATGTTAATATATATGGAAGCGAGTATGCTATATCAAAGAAATTAGAATTTTCCTCTGGTTCACGCGGGAGGAGCGAGAAGAGAAGACGCATCAATTCAGGTACTGAGAAACGAAACAAAAAACGAGAACTCGGAGTTCTGCGCATGCGCGTCTTTCGGATTACAGTTGAAGAGACAGTAAACAACGCGGAAGAGACGGTAAAAATGAAATACATTTCTTATTCTTGGTGTTTACACGATGCTCTACACTATAAACAGTACTTTAGAAATGTAGATTTTATAGATACTACTTAACCGCTTTTTAAAGTAAATTTCCTGTCAGGTGAATTACATCACTGTTAAGTGAGGTCGCATAATAAGCTCAAACAACTTTAGGTTTCTTTAGTTAATACGATTCCACCATTTTGAGTTTTTTTAGTTGAAGAAAGAAGGAAGTTTACAGTTAAAACGTGAATATGACAAGAGGACTAACAGTTGGTTTATGATTAAACTTGACAAGTCATCACCTGCTTCTTTATTTATGTAACAAATCACAAAATGTTAGTGATTTCATTAAAATGTCTTTTAGACATGCAGTGATTAGTGAAAGAGACTTACTGTACCATCACAATAGAGAACAAACCTGTTTACTTGTCATGTGACACACCCTGTGTGCCAGTATGTCTACTACCCTAATATATAGCAAGGTAAAACATTTTTCAAAATTTGCAGTACTCATAAACAGTAGGCAAATAGTACCTAAAATAGTACATACGGATGATATGGGAACTTTCATGTCCTTCTTGTTAGTCAGAAGATGGATAGAATACAACTCTATTAAAACTAGACTATTACTGTAAAATCGTAAGATACAGTACAATGGCATACAGTAAAACAATTTTTTTTTTTTGCAATGCACACTTGAGCATTACATCACACAGGCAATTGGTATTAATAGAAAAAGAAACCTATGGGACTGTGAGCCTGTATACTATGGAAACAAAGAATATGAACAGTCAAAAGTAATATTAGATACAATAAAATAATATTGCTGAATCAGTGTCCACTGGAAAAAAGTGTGGTTTCATGAATGACTACTAACAACTAATTTTGGTGTAAAAAGTTCTGAAAGTTGGCAGTAGATTTAGACTAGGTTTTATATATATATATATAATGTGATATGCGATACCGTCATATGCGATACAATATTGCTTTAAGAGTGTGAAATCAATTAAAATTATATTTCAAAACAAAAAATTATATAACCAATGTATATGTTTCACATTCTTTCTTGGAAAAGAAAGCATCACTACAACTTCTGAATGACCAGCAGTGTTTTAGCATTACATAAAAAGCAATATCTAAAAAAAAAAAGATGCAAATGAAATAAACAGTGCTTCAACTTTCAGGCAGGCTTACATTAGATATATTTAACAGTAGCGTTTCAAGTAAGAAACAATACAGAAAATAAATAATCAAATGTAAAACTAAAACAATGCATAGTCTTCACATGAATTAATATACATTGATTCATAATAAAGCTACAAAGGTATTTCAGTCAAGCTTAGCTTCTCAGTGAAGCACGGTTCTGTGATTAGTTGTAATTACTGCTCCATCCGAAGGCCAGTGGGCACTCTCGTGCTGAAACTCAAAATATTTCTCGCAGAAGAAAGGTAATACACATCGTTCCAGGAAATCCCTATCACTGCAGCTGAATAAACAGAAGATTGAACTGCTTTCATTGATTCAATGTGACTAATAAACATACAGTTACAGCGATTTATGGTTTATCTGAGTTTTTCTTATTATAATTTTTATTAATACATATTTAAAAATGCAATGCTAATCGACATAGCCTTTATCACTGCATAGAATATTATAAAATATGTTGTGTGCGTTATTCTGTGTAAGAAGCCACATCATCACAGAAGAATTTTATTTCAGACACTCCACTGACAAAGTTTGGAGTAAAAATATATTAAATGTTGTCTTTTGTTGGACAAGAGGTTCATAAATACTTCTTATGTTTGAAAGATGTTTGACAAGACATTTAGAGGTAGCCTATTAATCAAATAATAATTGAGATATCACATGGCATTGCGATATGCATATCGCGATATGGACAATTTGCGATATTTCGATAATTTCAATATATCGTGCAGCGCTATTACAATGTCAGGCGTTGCTCTGCTTTGTGTACTGCCTACCGCTATACTTCTGCCGTTCCGAAAGCACCACCAGCTGGCAGTGAATGAATTAGCATTTTTAATAAGCCCGGTCTGCTGTTTTTGTTCAGACCAATGGGAAAATAAACCAATGTTTTATGCAGCAAACATGCAGAGTTGTAAATATGAAGTAGTGGATCGACCAGAAGATAATGTATTATAAAAATGTATTTGTTATTTGTTATGATATTTAATTAATATAATAAATGATTGATAATTATTTAGATTAATATGAATTTAAATTAAAAATGGTTTAAATGCTGAAATGTTAAGTTAATCATTTTATAAAACTTTTCGTTTTGGTGAAAACCTGTATATGAACTCTAAATCATGTTTTTTACAGTCATTTTGATTTTATTTATGCAGGTCTTTTAAAAAGGTCTTAAAAAGTCTTAAATATGAGTGTAAAAAATTTTGTAGATCGGGAAGAAGGAGGCGGGAACTGGTAAACATTGAAACATAATTTAATAACTGAAAATAATGTGACAGTCCCTTACGGATGACTGCCGCGCACAAACAGAACCAAAACAACATAAAATCCAGGCCTGGTCCACTCTCGTCCTTCACTGTCATTACTCCTCCTTTTGTCCTTCCCGGAGCTCCTCCATGGGACTGGGACTTGAGTGAGTGGTGCAGGTGTCGCTCATTATCATTTACTCCACCGGCCTCGCTCCGTTCCCACGGCTCTCGGCCCCGCCCCACTCGTCACAATGAGCTTAAATATCATGCAGATACCCTGGTCTAGCAAAAACCATCAAATAATGTTTTTAGGTAGGCCAATATAATTGTCCGGACCTCGGCTGGTGAGAAATGTTTATTCCTGGACCTCAAGCAATTTTAGTCGAAGACCCCTGAATTACAGCATTTGTCACGTGTTTCAATTACCCTTCAAATTGTGCGAATTGAAGTCGTGTATTGAAAATACGTCAATTTTGCAAAAACTCCCATATATAGCAAAAAAGTTTTTATGCTCACATGAAGTGGTTTTTCAGGCAATTCGAAAAAGGAATATATGTATGTATAAGTCAAATGACCATTCTTTAATGTACTATAACCTCCAAGAAACACCTCATAGGTGGCCGGTCTCAAGTATAAGGGGCTTTCTTTGCCATTAATGCTTGGATAACCCCTTATTATGAAAGTCTGGTCTGTGATTATGAAAGCTGTTTTGCACAGCTTGTCAGTGAAGTACGGCTCAGTGTAGTAAATGCTGTTCCATCTGAAAGCACAACGAGTTTGAGTTGCTAAAAACCTG